AGGGGAAGTGAAAGGAGTTTGTAAGCTGCTCTGAGACACCTTTGGGTAGTGAAGGGCAGGGTATAAATCTATTATTATTATTATTATAAATAATAATAATAATAATTGCTTTCAGGCACTGTGAGTTTTCTCACTGGGCCCTTTTGATGTTCAAAGCAATATTCCTAATACATTCCTTTCCTAGCTTGCTCTTTAGTACCGGGTACCAATGCTCCCTCTAATTTCTTTCCCCCTACCGAGCAGAGCAGTTCACATCCTGAGCAGAATACGACTGCTGTAATCTTGACCCTGCGCGACTTCAGACTGCTGCTGAGCGAGGCTTCCCGTGTTAATGAGCAGACGCTCACACGCACAGCTTAGAGCAGGGGTGTCAAACATAAGGCCTGGGGGCCGAAACTGGCCCATCCAGGGCTCTTAACTGGCTTGTGAGAGACTGAGGGAGGGAAGGCAGGAGGCTGCTTTGGAGGGTTACCCAAGAGGCAACATTCCCTCTAATTTTTATCCCCTACTGAGCAGAGCAGTTCACATCCAGAGCAGAATATAACTGCTATACTCTTATGGGCAGTGCAAGACCCTGCACGGCTCCAGAGTGCTGCTGAGCAAGGCTTCCTGTGTCAATGAGCGGCTGCTCATGCACACAGCTTAGAGGGAATACTGCATGGTACTTCCCCTCCCCCCCATTCTCACTTAGTGGAGATCCGTCTTTTTCCTCTCTGTCCTTAGCCTTGGGGACAGATGGACCCCTAACACACACACACACCCATGCAAAGGGTTCACACATGTCCAAATACCTGCTGCTGGACTGGAGCTTGTGGTTGGGATATTTGTGCTGTGACAGGTCCCTGGATGTGCGCCGCTGGCTGTACCTGCTGCTGCAGTGGCGTCTGAACCTGGCTGTGCGGCACAGCTGTGCTGACGGATAGGGTTTGCGGCGGGGCCTTCACGTGGACCTGAGGCTGGACCGGAGCTTCCGTGATTTGGGGCTGCTGCTGGGTGAGCTGCAGGGCAGCCGGGTGAGACGTGATGGGGATGCTGGTGGGCTGCAGCCTCCCCGGCAGCTGCGGCGGAGGGGTGTGCAGACTTGCTGCGTTCTGCACGGGAGGGCCCTTGGAAGGGTCGTACTGCTGCTGGCTTTGCTTCTGCCCGGTCAGCTGCACTGCTTGAGGGGTGGGAGGCATTCCTCCTGGAAGGCAAGAAGAGATGGAGAAGAGGTGAATTCCCAAAGCCATTTGGCCTCTTAAGACCTCGGCGGACACAGAGGAGACGACTATTCTACTTACTTTGCCCACACAACACCGTTGCTTTGAATAAATGGCGAAAGACACTCACAAGTTGGGGAAAAAATGAATACCACAGTCTATCATGCACAGAAACTGATGGGTGTTTGCAATGCGTCAGTACACACAGAATGGGGGGGGGACTTATCTAATAGCTCCTACATTGGTGACGGATAATTTTTAAAAAACAGCACAAATGTAATAACTAACACTCGATTAGAACCACGTCTTGCTACCCAAGAGCCGCCCGTTTGCAAAGTGGCATGCTCCGTAGCGACCGGGTTCACATCGACTCCTGCGACAGGTTCTCGCATGCCCACATGCACCGCTGAGGCCCGTCACTCGGCTCCTGACACAAACCAGGCATTTCACACCAAGTATTAATTTACAAGAGGGACGCCCGTGGTGGAACAGGAGACCTCAAAACAAAACAAAACAAAAAACGCTCCGCCATTTCTGGCTCCAGCACCGACATCCCGCCTGCTAATTAATCTGCGGCTGGTGTGTGGTGACACAGTACCTTGCGCTGTTGGCATGAGCTGTTGAAGAGGGACTCCTGAAGCCACGCCTGGATGCTGAAAAACCATCCCATGACGGCCCACTTCAATTCGTGGTCTCTTAGACGAATCTGTGATATTCAAATTCCGTTTACGGCACGGTACAGCGGAAGGGGGTTCAAGGTTATAACGTTTACAAGAGCGGCCCCGAGCTTTGATATCTACGACTCTACGGTGCGAGGACAGCATCATGGGAGGAGAGGCCCAGAACACACAGGCTACTGCCGAATCCAGTCTATTGGCCGTGAGGGGAGCACGTGACAAGCAATGGACTTCCTATCCACAACAAACAGCCTGAAGGCTTTGGCAAAAGTGGCACACCTGAAGCAACCATTTTTAGTGAATGCTAGACAGTGGTGATCCTCGAATTAGCCTAAAAAGGATAATTTGGTTCTACTGAAGGGACCGTACCTGCTGAAGAAAGTGCTTGCTGTCTCTTAAAAGCTTCAATTTCTATGGTATTCACCGTTCCTGTTACTGGAGCCCCTGCATGCACCTGCTATTGTAAGAGAAAACAGAAAAGTTAAAATTCAGCAAAATCCACACATTTTTCTTTTGCAGAACCCCCAGAGTTTATTTTCACAACTAGTCCTTTTTTTTTTCTTTTTCTCTTTTAAAGCTGCATGAAAGGGGGGGGGGAGGAAGTGTTCAAGAGCTGCTGGCATTTTTTGAAAACATCTACAGCACATCAAATGCGAGGCACTTCCTAATACTCTTCGCCCAACTTTCATTACTCACACAGATGACACCCACTTTTAAACTAAGAATATTTATGTTTAAAATGACACACTTAAAGTCAGAGGAAGAGTACATATGTTTGCCTTTCTTTGGGTGACTCTTCTTTAGAGCAAAATTTGCTCTAAGAGCTCCAAACCCCCAGCTCCTTGGTTGCATAATCAAATCATAACTTTGTTCTGCATTAAAAACAAACGTTAAAATAGTATATGGGATGTGGCATCCAACAAAGCCAGTGGGCAGTAGGTTCAGGACAGACAAAAGGAAATACTACTTCACACAGAGCATGATTAAATGTGGAATTTGCTGCCAGAGAATGTAGTGATGGCCACAGAAATAAACAGCTTTAAAAGGGGATTAGACAGATTCATGGAGGATAAGTCGATCAATGGCTACCAGCCATGGGGACTGTGGGGAACCTCCACATTCAGAGGCACTAATCCTCTGAATCCCAGAGCCAGGAGGCAACATCAGGGGAAGGCCTCAGCCTCTAGGCCCTGTTGTTGGCTCTCCAGAATAACTGGGGTGGCCACTATGTGAGACAGGATGCTGGACTAGATGGACCACTGGTCTGCTCCAGCAGGGCTCTTCTTATGTTCTTATGCAGGCCTCAGCCTCAATGCCGTTTTTTGTACCTGCAGAAGAACTAGTTGGCCGTTGTGTGAGACAGGATTCTGGACAAGATGGACTATTGTTCTAATCCTGCAGGGCTCTTCTTACATTCTAATGAAGGCCTCGGCCTCTACACCCTGTTGTTGGCCATGCTGGACTAGATGGACCACTGGTCTGACCCAGCAGGGCTCTTCTTATCTTCTTATTACCTCCAAAATCCAATATACTTTCCCCAGCATATGAAGAGACAATCGTTTCCCCACCCCACCCCTCAGTAGATGCCTTAGCAAAGATGAAAAACAAAGCTAAAATGGACTTTACTAGGATCCTCTAAAAGCTCTTCTGCCAGTAGAAACTAAACCAAAAATAAGTGGAGATTGCACTGGCAAAGCACCCCTGAAGATCTTTCTTGGTATAATCAGTAGAATGTGTCTAGGGCACAGGATAAAGGCAGGGGATGTAGCCACCTTCTCTAGATCTTAGCAAGACTGTTTGAGGAACCTACACCCACTGCCTTACATTACATAGAAGAAAAGCGAGAAGGCCATCATTAGACTCTAATGAAAAGCTTCTGCTTCTGCGTTCCTTTTGCCTAGACTCTTATCTTGTGGCTGACCTTTTCACCCTTCCCTCAAATCACTACAGCACATACAGCCACAGACTGGGTATCAAGTAGCTTATTGCCCTACCTTCAAGAGAGAGAAAAGATGAGATGGAGGTGGGGAAGAAACTGCACCAAAGCCTCAGAATGTTCCATTGAGAACTGAGCTCTTGCTAACCAAAAGATAGCAAAAATTAAGGTATATGTTCTAAAACAGCATAGTGTCTGTCAGCTCAGTTTTCTCTCAAGCATTGGGAATATTAGCAAGTTTGCTTTACAGAAGACTAAGACGTCACTTTTAAGTTCCACAAATATGTCAAATATTACAATTTTATATGCCAAGTTATAAACGATGCATTTTATGTTGTCAAGTTAGTAAAATGAGTTTAGGTTGACAGCACATTAAGTAGTACATACATTTCAATTTCCCCCAAAATGTATGGGTTTTTCCCCCCCATGGATTCAGAGGTTCCAGAAATTTTAGATCTCTATTCCTAGCTGTATAGCCTAGCATAAGAATGGTAGGAAGTGACATTCATGTGCCAGTTATCCAGGTGAGGGGGAAAAACACATAAAGGTGAACAGACATAACCCAGGAAGTCAGCATAAGTATCACTTATCTTCTGACTTCACCAGGCCAACATCCAACTCCTAAGACCATTTTTAACTTGCTCTTCCTTTGCCAACCACTGCTACCAGTTTCAGTCTCCGAGTGTCAGCTTCTCAGGACAGGGTCTGTTCTCTTTAAAGTACTCTGCGTGCTGCATCCATATTGACCACTGTACGCCTCCCAAACAGCTCTCAGTTGGTCATTCCAACTTTCAGGGCTGTGAGATCTGCCTCAGTCAGCGTCTTCTGTAGTAGCCCTTATTCTTCATAGCCTCCAAGAGGAGGCCTGAGGACAGTCAGGCCTTTATGAAGTCCTGTAAATCAGTACAATCCAGATGGGCTTTTTATGGAGTTCGTAAGTAATTTGTTTGGAATGCTGAGGTTGTTTGGCTATTCTGATGCTTTGTTTTAGGGGTGAAGTTTGTTCTCAGTATACAGTTTCCTTTGGTTAACTGGCCGTATGCCTCTCAGTAGATCTTTTCATCTTTGTGTTTAAGAGACCTTGAACCAAGGTAGGATATAAATAGTTTTCTCTATCAGTCAAATAAAATGCAATCACTCTGTTGTTATCAGTATCAATCACTAATACTGCTCAGGTGTAAAGGGCTTCATATTTCCCCCCATTTAAGAGGTTTAAATATACCAGTCCTTATCGGACTGGTAAAGGTATAGATCAGACTTACAAGATGTGCCTGCAAATTCCCTAAGGAAGGAAACTTAGAAAGCTTGGTAGGTTTTTCTTCCCATTTTAGGGGACATAGCTCAAGGAACTCACAGACAAGTGGTAAAATTTGCACCCTTCTTTACATAACTGATACAGCTCACTGCAGAAGGAGAGGAAATGTGAGATCCATGCAGGACTGGTAGACTATTAGATTTGTGAAACCTTTCAGAAGGTTAGAAGAGAGTTTTAAAAGCTGAAATATTGAAATGGGGGAGGGTACTGAAAATGTGTTTTCTTTTTCTTATTTCTATAATAAATTACATGGATTTCAAAAACTTTAAAACAGTGTCTCTCAAAGTCTTACTACATTTCTACCACACCTGTGGGATGAAAAAAGATTCTACAGCACACTTGAGAGTTCAGCAAGTCCACGGTCACCTGCCAACTCCGCAAAAAGCAACAGTCAAGTCCTACTACTTGCTTAGTCGTCAGAGCTGACTTGTGGCAACCCCCAAGGGTTTCCAAGGCAAGAGACGTTCAGGGGTGGCTTGCCGTCGCCTGCCTCCGCATCATGACCCTGGTATTCCTTGGAGGTCTCCCATTCAAATCTAACCAAACATGACCCTGCTTTGCTTCTGAGATGTGACAAGATCAGGCTATCCTGGGCTATCCAGGTCAGGGCTCACAAATAATTAGCATGTTAAATTGTTCTATAAATAGAATCCTATTGACTGCGCAGGGAGTAAACAATACATGATTTTTTAAAAAATGCATTATTTCCATTGCACCCATCAGGGCTGAACATGACAACTCACAAGAAGCCAGATTTGCAGCACCCACAATATAACCCGCTAATTCCGAGATCTGTAGTGTAAACATTTAAAAATAAAATGAAACTAGGACTGGCCCTGCCCATTATTTGAGTGCTATTGTTAAATACCTCACAGAGCCTAGAGTGCCGCTATGTAGGTAACTATTTGTCTTTTTTAAAAATTCATTTCATTATGATGTCATTTGTTAGCAAAGACTCCAGACAGAGATGTGAAGGCTTTGGGTGGAGGGGGAGTAGGAGGAGGTTCCAGTGATTTCTCCCCAGGTGAGGTTTGGGAGAAACACTGAAAAAAGCTCTTCTGGAATGAGTGAAATGCTTTTCAAGACAAGTCAGTGCACTGTATTAAGACTTTTAAGTAAGTGTCTACAGCATTAGATAGCAATAACAATAATTCCTGTGTACATGGTAAACAGGCACAGCGTATTTTCAAACATGTATTTGTTTAAATGTGATTAAATGCTGCCCACAATTAATATGTGATGTTAATACACCACTGAATAGATTATTGATAATACACTGTTTCCAACTTTCATTCTTCCCTACCTGTCAGATGGCTAAAATTAAGATATATGTGCTAAAGCAGCTTACAGTGAAGTGATATGTAGTCGTTACATACTAAGTTCTAAATGCTGTGTTTTATGGTGTTAGTGCAGTAAAGTAAGTTTTAGGCTTTTGATGAGAACGTATATATTACATATATCACCATTTTCCCAAATGTTTCCGGGCTTCTCCCTCTTGTGTCCAATATTTCCAGAAACTTTGCATCACTACTCCTAGTCTACCAACATGGCAAAGTGTCTAATGCTAAAAAACAATCAGTTAAGAAGCAACCCTGCTATTGATTGAAGTATTTTTATTGTTCTGATAAAGCTATTAAAAACACTTGACAGATCAATAGACCCAACCTGTTTTGACTGCTCAAATGTTCAACCCTACATAAAAACTACAAGACATTTGATTACTTATTTATACAAAATTGTGGTAGCTTAAATGCACCAAAAGGAAAGAAGGTGACGCCGTAAATCTGACATCTTTTTGTGTCTGAATAAAAAAACAACCCTTCAAATTGAGGGAGGGGAAGAACAGAATCTTAGAAGGAATCCACAGTCACAATGGCACAGACAGAGGAACCCACGCTGTTACTAGGCAGAACGCACAAAGAAATCAAGACAGGCAAACCAAGTGAAATACATTAAAAGCTGAAAAGTTAATGAAACAAGCCAGCAACTTTGAGACAAAGAAAAGAAATAAACTTCCTCAGCACTCCATAAACACCCATGCATCTGAAAAATTTAAAGCTCTTTTTACTGCTCGATTTTGTTTTTGAGATGAGAAGGGATGGGCCTCTTGGGAAAATACAAATTCCACTATCCAATACCAAATCTGAATGAAGGAAAAAAAGAAATAATAATCTGGGATGAAAACTACAAGTTTAGAACCATTGAAAAGTACCTGAAATGGTTGCTGCTGGGATGAAAAAGCAGCAGAAACATTTGGAGGAAGCTGGGTTGCTATAGCAACAGGAGTACCAGTCTGGCCATCCTTTCCTGTCACAACCTTTACCTGAGAGAAGATATTTTGGGGAAAAACAAAAAGGGAAATCATTTTTTTCTTTTGCTTTCGTGTTTGAAATCCGGTCAACGCACCTTTGCTTGGCACTTTAGTGATGGTTTCTCTTTGAAGAGGGGTTTATAACATAATATATCCATCAGTGCAATGCAACATTAACCTTTAAAAAAGTATTAAAGAGTTCTGCTTTGCCATTAAACAGCAGAACGGAACAAGGGACAGGCTAGCAGGAAGTTCTGTCACCTCTCGCCATCAGAAGTCTCAATTTGATTTTAGTCTGGATAATAACATGGGTAAGACTTTGACATCTTGGCTTTCTCGACAGACAACAAAATTAGCACGACAGACAGTCCACATTCAGAAGAGCCCAAACATTTATTAAGCAATGAGCAGAGCTTGCATTCGCTCCCCCCGCCCCCCCTGAACAAAACCCCATAGTCATCAGCCCACCCAGGCAAGGGATGAGGTGCATTGCTTTAGCAGAAGGTGATAAAGGGTAGGGGGTGGGATAAGAGAGGAAGACCACAAAATACGAAGAAAGGAGGTACAGATACCCCAGAAGCAACTCTGCAATAAAAGATAATGCAATCTGATCAGGACACAAAGAAGTTCATTTCATTATTCTGCTGAAGTGTTCCACGTGACTGATAATATAAATTGCTAAACCTCAGAATCAGGTATCTTTTTTTTTTTTTTTTTAAAAAGCCTTAATTACTGCTCACCTAGTACCTTAGAGGGAAATGCCTTTATCTATGCATAACAGCATCAAACAGTGAAAAACGTTTCACAAATTTGAGCTCTGCCATGGTTTAAGAAAAGCCTTTGAAAGTCTCCTATGTCATACGCAGCACTGCCAAGCACAGATTGATCATTTCTGACCATTCTGAAAGCATCGCGGGGGGGGGGGGGGGGGGGTAATTTTCCAACATGGGGGGGGGGGGGGGAGAGTTAATCTTACAGCCAGCCCATTTAGCATGTACATAGGAATGATTACTTTTTTAAAAAAATTCAGACCACAGAAATCATTTATTCTTATAGATTGTCTGACCTACTTGGATGATCTTCAACACACTTTCTCAAACCCTCGTGGATTTCAATGGGCTTTACTTTCTACAGTTTTCAAATTAATGGAGTGCCTCAGCTTCTAAACACTAAATGCTTTAATAAATTGCTGCTCTCCTCACTAGACCCCTGGATCTGCCATTCAACCCACTGGAAAACAAGCAACATACAAGTCAAAGTCACGGAGGCAGCTTGGGGAAGAGGTTTAAATTCCTACTGCCCTTTCACCACAGCCCATGTCACTCAAGGCACCCTAACCAAGCCTGCTATTTACCATTTTTTAAAAGTGCTGGGCAAATCCACTCACAATCTATAAGTCATTAATCCACTGGTAACTCCGCCATTAAAGAGTTTCACAAGATTCTGCCGAAAACAGCAACGTATTTACAATATTTAACTGGAAGTACCAAGCTCTAACGGCTTGCAAACAAAATGCACACCTCTCTGGGAAACGACGTCTTGCAAATCAACCGTGAATCCTCGATGGTACATTTTACCACGCATGGCCATAAACGGAAAATTAAAAACAGACCCCTGAAAGAAGAGGGCTATGCACAAAGACGGGATAGGTGACCACAACTTCTGGCAACATGAGTGAGCGGTTCCGCTCCAAACTAGACAACTGGATGGGTTTGGAATTCGGGAATAGGCTATACACTGGAAGGGCTGCCACACTGCATTGATACATAACCCTCTGAAAAAATAGTCTGGAGCTGCGGCATCAAGTAAAGAACACTTATTCCGATCCACAGACGTCTGCTCCATTGTGCTCAGTGGGGCTGTGATGCCCTGTGGCTTTAAAATATGGGACCACCAGCCAGGATGGTAATACAAATAAGATTCCGTAGAGATGATGATTAACCATTTATTTATGATATTACTATGCCACCTCTTGTGAGCCCTGCTTGAGACATATCGCAATTCGCTCACTACTAAGCTCACATAAGTATTCAAATTACTTTAATCTACTACTGTTTTTAAAAATGACAGGCTTTAGGATTGTCATCTTTAGCGAAAGCAACTTCAGGCCCCCATGGGATTTTAAAAACAAAACGTTTCTTCCTTGCCTGTTTCCAAAACTTAACTGATGTTCAAGAACGACTTCCCATGCAGATTTTGTGTGAGATGCGGTGGGGCTATTGTTAGAAATGCACCAGTCAAATGGGGCACATGGATTGTTTGGATCCTGATCTTAGAGATAACATTTGTATTTGCAGAAATCGGAAACCTCAATTAAAACCCAGGTTCTTTCTCCTCGTCTTCACAATGGAAGTTCTATCACCACGTTTTAAAAATACATAGTTAAGGCTGCCATTTTGGAAGTTTTATAAAAGAACCACAAAGTTCATATACGCACTCTGCATGCGATGAAAGCACAATCATGCATTAAAACTCTCTGTAAGTTTTATTTATGTGTCTGAGCAGGAAAGCAGAAGCACCTCCAACATCTAGGAGAGCAGGCCATCCCAGGCAACCCAGTTCTGCTTCCTATCGCCACAACTGATTTATCTGTTCTTTTTTGGGTTGCCCTTGGGAGCTTCCACAGTTGAAAGGCCGCCGACAAATACAGTAAATAAAATGAATATATCTCACCCTAAACCACTTTCCCAGAACATCTGTTAAGGATCACTGCAGTAGCAGCCAGTGAGCTATCTCATGGCCCAGAAAGAGTCGCAACCAATGCTCCCTCTAAGCTGTGGAGTCTTGTGAGCAAGGATTCTACTTTGTGAGCTGCTGGCATTAAAGTTGTGAGCGAGCGATTTGGCTGCTGCATCAATCAGTTTGCTCTGGAGCCATCCTTCCTGAGCTAAGACAAAAATGTGTGAGCCGGAGGCTAAAAAGCTGAGCTAGCTCACACAAGCTCAGATTAGAGGGAACACTGGTCGCACTGGTTTACTGGAAGTCTAACTGGTTTCACTGGTCCAAGTCCATGCCTAGGACTGCAGAATCAGAGAACTGGTGTCAATTCTAAATTCAGGGTGATGCTTCCCCGTTACTGAAAACTGTTAAGAGTCTTACCTCGTCATTGATAACTTCAGACTGCTCCTCCTCCTCCTCCTCCTCCAAATCAAGGTCATTCTGCCTCAGGTACGCCTGCAATGGCATACAGAGCTTCTTTTTAAATGCCAGGAAATCCATCATATTCCCTTGGAGGTGCTGCAGGAAAAACAACTCGATGAGGTACTCCTTGAAAGTTTCTTTCAAGATCTCCATATGCTTGAGGTGCTGCTCCAGACACTGCTTTCTCATCTGGGCGGTCTCTTGAGTCGCAGGGGGGATCTCCTCCAGCTTCTTCGGCTTCTTCACCACGGCACACACGGAGGGAGCAAGGGGGAGGCTCGTCAGCCCCTGCGCCATGCTGGCTCGGGAAGGGCTGGTGGGAGGGGGCGGCGACGTCATCCCAAACGTCGGCGGTCCTCCCACGCCAGCGATCAGACTGCCAGGAGTCCTGTCATACCCCAAAGGTCTGCTCAGCTGCTGCCCTTGCAGGACCTGCTGCTGTTGCTGCATGCCTTGGATGATGTTGCTAATTTGCGGCGGCAGGTTATTTGTCGTAATGTGACCGGGACTCGGTAAAGGCTGGATGTTTGCCCCGCTGGCGACGGGACTCTGCGGTCCAAGATGGTGAATGGTGCCTCCGGTCTGCGAGTGGGGCTGCGACAGCCGGCGCTCTCTCACCGTGGCAGGCGCGCCGGGAGAGGAAAGTTGCACCTGAGCTGCGGCGCCTTGAGAGAGCTGGGCAATGCCGGATCCTTCCTGGTACACAAAGTGCCCGCCATTCGAAGGGCTCAGGCTGATCTGTCTGACGAGCACACTTGTGTCCACGAAGCCTCGCGTCGGGCTCTGGCTGCACATGCCCAAGCCGGGGCCCGGGGTCCCCGTCCGAACGTTAGAAATGGACTGAACCGGCATGGGGCTGGGCTGCGTGGGGCTTTGGGACTGGACCTGAGGGGGCAACGGCGAAGTGACTTGGATATAGGAGGGTGATCCATGCTCAAACCTCCTTTGCTGAGGACTGAACTGGAAACTCGGGGATGTTGGGCTTGGGATGGGCAGAGGGGTCAGGGTGATCTGCTGGTTTCCTGCTGTTACCGAGCCAACGTTCTGCAAGGTGATGTTAACATTCTGGCCAGCCACGGGGCTTCTGCTCATTATAAATTGTTGGATTTGGTAACTGGGAGACTGTGGCGCGGATGGGCTGGCGGAAGGAGCAAACGACGCTGCAGGGGACTGCGGCAGGTTTGCCTGCTGATCTTCACTCTCGCTGCCGGTGAAGGACCGCGACCTCTGGAGCTGGCGTTGGGCATTTTGAGGTCCGTTCCCATGGTGCATTCTCACCGTCTCTAGTGTTCTCGAATTCTAAAAAGAAATAAAAAACGATGTCAAGGGAAACATCCTTCTGACTCAGTAAACATATTGCATTTAGCTACAGAATTCTCCCATTTCTTGGTCTGTTACTCTTGCCTCTACCATGACTTTATTTTCTAAGCTACCACCGACATTTAAGTTGAAAGTTCCTCACAGGACAGGCCTCCCTTTTATTTTATGTTACCCTATATGTTGATTCTGGACTTGTATAAATGATTAATTGTAAGCCGCCCTGAGCCCACTCATGGGATAGGGCGTGGTATAAATTAATTAAATAAATAAATGATTTTTAACCATTTCCATCTGTGTATGCACAGGCTACTAAATTGTCTTTATTGTTAACACGCAACTAATTAGAACAATTATCTGAACAGATGTACTATGTGAAAGAGCTATTTAAATTGCTCTGAAATCAAAGGAAATCTTCACAATTCATTTGTTCTCTATGGACTCTGTGTTTCTTCAAAATATCTGGCACGAGGAGGAGGAGGAGGAGATTGGATTTATACCCCACCCTTCACTCAGAGTCTCAGAGCGGCTTACAAACTCCTTTCCCTTCCCCTCCCCACAACAGACACCCTGTGAGGTAGGTGGGGCTGAGAGAGCTCTGACAGAAACTGCTCTTTCAAGAACACCTCTGACAGAACTATGGCTTGTTCAAGGTCATCCAGCAGCTGCAAGTGGAGGAGTGGGGAATCAAACTCGGTTCTCCCAGATCAGAGTCTGCACACTTAACCACTACACCAAACTGGGAAATATATTCATTAAGAAAAAAAATTTAAAAAGCAAACAAAAAAGACCTTGGTAGCCAGCCTAAATTAGTGGTCACCTTATCACTCATAACTCCCTATGTGAGAGACAGAGTTTTGTCCCTGACAGTATGCTCGAGTCTTCCAGACACTCAGAAATCAAGATTTCTCACTGTTTTCTGAGTGCCCCCCAAGCCCAGAATGAGTTAAAGGGTCCCTAAGACTATCACAGTTTTTGTCTGCCATTTGTAACTGATGACATGCAACAAAAATGTCTAGAAGTAATACAGACTTCCCTATGAATTTATCACCTTACTTGGCACAAGTCATAAACCACAACAGCTTAAGCAATGGTAAAACAACTAAACACTAAAACATGGCTTTTAAGAGCCAAAATCCAGTCAGATAAAAATATACAAGACAGGCAGAAGAAATAGAAAAATTGAAGTGTTTGCAAAAATCCTTCAAAAATGTTTGAGGTTCCACATTCACGGCCAGCAACTTACTCTCTCTCAAAAGAATAGCAGAAATACTGGATAAACCCTTCTGGCCAGTTCAATGAATAAAGAGGAAATTTACATTGAAATGTAGCCCCTTTCCTTGGCTGCCCTGGCAAATAATGGGACATATAACAGTAACCTGCCTCTCCTCCCTTCCTGCCGTCCTCTTATTTCCTCTCTCTCTGTTTATTTATTTACTTAATTTATATTCCACCAGTCTCCCCAATGAGGAACCAAAGCAGTTTACATCATTCTCCTTTCCTCCAGTCTGACCTGGCAACTACCTTGTGAAACAGGTGAGGCCAAGAGAGTGCGTGACTGGCCCAAAGTCACCCAATGAAGCTTCGTGGCAGCGTGAGGATTTGAATCTGGGTCTCCCAGATCCTAGTCTAACCACTCTGGCTGTCTTTATACACAAGACAAAAATATATCAATTGTACTATTATAACTGGCTTTCTCTTTTAGGAGAATGAACGGTGATTATAAAGCAAATGATACCTAGACAGTATTCCATTTGGCCCACAAAGTTTTTAAACTTAGCTGTTTACATAATATACAAGAAAACACTAGATATTTTACAGTCAAACACAGCCACAGTTTCTCTTTCCTCTGGAAGCTTCAAAAAATTATTTTCTGCTCTTTCGATTTTTAATTGAATGAAAGAAGATAAACTCGTAATCTTTACTATGTCATTCGCTTTTAATTCTCCTGTTACATGCTGTGGATGTTGTCTATCTTTAATTAAAAGTTTTATAATCCATAAAGAGATGCTACCCAATGTGGTGCTTAAGTGTGGGAAAACAACTGGAGGAAACATTGACAGGAGTTCTGTTGTTTATTTACTATCAGGCTGTGGTTTTTCCCATATGCTGTGACCCTTGTGGTCACATATACCGGTGGAAAGCTCTTTCTAATCTTCCCAGTAGTGATGTGAGCTTGTTTTCAAAAACAGAAGGGAGTCTTTTGGCAGTCTAAAACCTCCAACAGCACGTCTCTGTGCAGTTATTCCCGTCCCAACCTAAACAATAGACTCTGGAGTAACTCTACATATATATAAGCTCACACAAAGTCATAAAGAAAAAATGTAAACAGTGGGGCCAAACGGTCAAGCTATGCACATAGCCCAGGGAGTGATGTTTCTGTGTAGAGGTCAGCTGTATAAGCACAGTGGCCACTGGCCATTGGTAACAGCCACCAGTAACCAGGGAAAACACACAGAACAATCCTATGGAGAATTACTCTAGCCTAAGATCACAGAAACATTGTACTGACAGCTTCCCCAGATACGCTAAACTGGCTTAAGATCTTGCAGCATTTCTCATGAACTAGATTTCTTAACTGTAGAATTTAACAATTTTAAGGCTCCCTTTTTCCATCTGAGAGATGACTTCCCATGTCATTTCTTGTGCCCTTTTCCCAATAATGCAGGCTGGCATTGATGGTTCCTCACCTCCTCCCAGTTTTATCTTTTTAAAAGGCGTATTTTTCTTTGATGGAATGCAGAGTGGCATATATAAATCTCCCCTCCTGCTTTCATTATTTATTCAACCTTCATTCTACCCTTCTACTATGAAGCTCCTGACTCCACTTTCAGCAACTTGATCCTTACAACAAGGCTGCAAGGTAGACTGAAGAAGCAAGTCATGACTCCCAAAAGCTCATTCCCCACCAGAAGTTTTGTCTGTCTTTAAGGTGCTACTGGACTCTTGCTCTTTTCTACTCTAACACACACTGTTCAACAGCATCTTAAAGACATACATACTTCCCCTTTCCCTATTTTAAGTTCACAACAACCCTGTCAGGTAGATTCTAGAGGGCTAGCCAAAATAACCAACTAAAGACTCTCAGTGCTTTAAAGACAATTGTGGCTCAAGAGCCTTTGTGAGCCAGCACAATCTGATGAAGAATTTTTTTTTATCACATCAACCACGTCTTTAACCCTGCTCTGAGCTCAGGGGTCGCCTAAATGACTCTCCCTGCCATTTTATCCGCACAACAGCCCTGCGAGGTCAGTTAAGGCCACACTGAACAGCCCTTTGATAGGGATTCTAGAGGGCTAGCCGCCTTCTGCAGCCAAGATAACGAACTCAACACCTAACTTATTGTGACACAAAAGGTTTAAAAAACCGGTGCATTTTTTAAAAAGCATCATTTTTATACCATATTAACATTGAGAATCTTCCCCTTTCCCTATTTTAAGTTCACAACAACCCTGTCAAGTAGATTCTAGAGGGCTAGCCAAAATAACCAACTAAAGACTCTCAGTGCTTTAAAGACAATTGTGGCTCAAGAGCCTTTGTGAGCCAGCACAATCTGATGAAGAATTTTTTTTTATCACATCAACCACGTCTTTAACCCTGCTCTGAGCTCAGGGGTCGCCTAAATGACTCTCCCTGCCATTTTATCCGCACAACAGCCCTGCGAGGTCAGTTAAGGCCACACTGAACAGCCCTTTGATAGGGATTCTAGAGGGCTAGCCGCCTTCTGCAGCCAAGATAACGAACTCAACACCTAACTTATTGTGACACAAAAGGTTTCGTGAACCGGTGCATTTTTTAAAAATAGCTTTTTAAAAAAATCTTAAATTCTTTATTTGGCATCATTTTTATACCATATTAACATTCAGAATACTGATGAGAGCTCCTCAAGATTAACATTTAGTTGCACAATTAGGGAACCAGCGCATCTGATGGGAAAGACCCTTTCCCACCCACCCTGCTGCATCCGTCATATATACCATGCAGGGTGTCGTCCTGCATGGCTCTCCCTGGTCCCTATTCTATCTCCGTAACAACCCCGTGTGAGGAGTTACGGCGACAGGGGACGGCCCAAGACCACCCAGCGATTTTAAGAGCAGAGTGGAGAGACTCGAACTCGGTCCTTCCTGAGCCGAGCCCGACACTCTAACCACTACACCAGCCCGACTCGGCTCTCCCCCTGCGTTCCTTTCGCCTTCCAAGTCCCCCCGACCAAGACAGAGTTCGGAACGGCCGCGGCCCTTCTTGTCCCTCTCCGGCCGCCGTTAACTCTTCCGTAACCCGGGGGGGTGCGG